ACATAAATTTTTGTGCATCATGTGGTATGTTGAATGCAGCACTGGTTCAAATTAGATGTTTGTGAAGTGAAAATACTAAGTCTATAGTTTTGTACGAATTAGAAACTCCAAATACTGATATTGACAAGCTAGAATATAAAATAAGAACCTCGTATCTTTTCAATTTGCTAAGATATTGCTCATGTAATAAATCAAACACAGATCACTAAAGTTTGGTGAGACATTAAGTTTCGAGTCTGTACACTAGAAAAGTACAAGACAGAACACACAAAACTCGTTTATCTAAATGATACATTTAATATATTAATTTTTTTCGTGTGTGACTGTTCACTTCTGACAGTACATCATTGTGTTACAGTACATGGGTTGGGAAACATTAGTATAAGCTCCCATTAACTCTGGTTAAATTTGTTAATGTTTCAAGATAAAATTGTTGACCATGTTTTCTCTGATATGTTTTTCATTTTTATATTTTAAATTTCAAAGGGTGTGACTGCATGTATTGTTTGACGTTTTGTATGTTAAGCATACTTTGCTCATCATGGATCAGTTTTTTTACTTATCCACAGTGAGTTCAGATGTAGTAAGATAGTTACACAAGAAAAATATAGCTTAAAATTAGTGCTCTTGTATTCACCAGTTAATTTTTTGTTTGAATATTTTGCTGTTCAAATACCATAGAAGTAATTGAATAATGTACTTTATAATTATTTTTTTCTCTGTTTTGTGTGGGACAAGAATAAATTATTCACTGTATACATATTTGAAATGAGTGTATGGCTATTGTATAATTTAGACTGAACATTTTGCAGGTAAAACAACTGTAGCAGACTGTTTAATTGCCAGCAACAGGATTATATCTGAACGATTGGCTGGTAAGGTAAGGATAGCACTGGTTTTTAAAGAAATATTACAATTGAAACATTTTTCTGAATGAAGGATAATGAATAGTTTTAATAAAGATGAAGCAAAATTTAAAAATATTTTAATAAAAGTGCATGTTTACACACATTGTTGTAATATGGCATGTTTGGTTCACCATGCCACATTACAACATTTTGTTCACTGTTGTAATATGGCATGTTTAGTTCACTGTTGTAATGTGGCATGTTTGGTTCACTGTTGTAATATGGCATGTTTGGTTCACTGTTGTAATGTGGCATGTTTAGTTCACTGTTGTAATGTGGCATGTTTGGTTCACTGTTGTAATATGGCATGTTTAGTTCATTATTCTTTTGAAAAAATATTACAAATGTCTTAATTTCTTAAACAGTAATAACTGAATTGGTCTATCGTAATCGGCATGGCACATGAAACTTTACGTACAACAATTCTGCTTGGTAATATTACTAAGCAGGCCAATCTTGTTGGGTTAAGGGTCAAACACACCACTAGCAGTGAAGTTACCCAACTGTTGACCTGGGTCAGAGTGTTTATAGAAGCTTTTTATGGTTTGTCTGTTATTCATATTTAAGACTATTTATTATTAAATGTAATTATTATTTTAGAATTTGCAGCTGTTTTTCTGGTGGAATTCTTGTGAAAATGTACATGCTAATTATAACCAAGTATACTTCTTAAATTGTAACGTTATTCATGTATCCATTATTTCTCAGTTTCTATGAAATAATGTCATTGAAACTTAATACTGTTATCTTATTATTCTTGGTTTTTGTATGTGACTTTTAACAGTTTAGATTGTTACTTTTTTGGTGTGATTTAAAAACTTTAATTACAGTTGCGATACTTAGACAGTCGAAAAGATGAACAAGAAAGAGGAATTACCATGAAATCTAGTGCAATATCTCTTCAATTTACCTCTGGTAAGAATAGTACAATATCTCTTCATTTTACTTCTGGTAAGAATAGTACAATATCTCTTCATTTTACTTCTGGTAAGAATAGTACAATATCCCTTCATTTTACTTCTGGTAAGAATAGTACAATATCTCTTAATTTACTTCTGGTAAGAATAGTACAATATCTCTTAATTTACTTCTGGTAAGAATAGTACAATATCTCTTCAGTTTACCTCTGGTAAGAATAGTGCAATATCACTTCATCTTACTTCTGGTAAGAATAGTACAATATCTCTTAATTTTACTTCTGGTAAAAATAGTGCAATATCTCTTAATTTTACTTCTGGTAAGAATAGTGCAATATCTCTTCAGTTTACAATAGTACAATAGTAGAATAGTACAATATCTCTTCAGTTTACCTCTGGTAAGAATAGTGCAATATCACTTCATCTTACTTCTGGTAAGAATAGTACAATATCTCTTAATTTTACTTCTGGTAAAAATAGTGCAATATCTCTTAATTTTACTTCTGGTAAGAATAGTACAATATCTCTTCAGTTTACCTCTGGTAAGAATAGTACAATATCTCTTAATTTTACTTCTAGTAAAAATAGTGCAATATCTCTTCATTTTACTTCTGGTAAGAATAGTGCAATATCTCTTCATCTTACTTCTGGTAAAAATAGTACAATATCTCTTAATTTTACTCTGGTAAGAATAGTACAATATCTCTTCAGTTTACCTCTGGTAAGAATAGTG